AGATGCCTGATTGTAATTATAAGCCTGAATATATACAAGGACACTTAATACCATGGATTACTATACTTGTCAAAAAAAAAAAATAGTTGGCCATCACTACTATTTGGTAAATATATTTGTATCATTTGACACATGTCAAGGGATATAACCACCAAGAGTCTCTCAGTTACAGTAGATAAACATATGATTGAGTCAGAAATAAAAGTATGCATTTATTTTACTATCAAATTAAATTGACCGTAATTGATTCATTGGACAACAGAATTCCATGATACGTTAAGGACTATCAAGTTTATTATCTCATAAACTTTCAGCATTCATTAATCTTTAAGACGCCACAACATTCTGGTCATAATGCTGCAAAAATCTAATGTAGCTATCTCTCTGGCATTTATTTCAACAGTAGTTCCTATTATTCCTTATTGATACTTTCATGTACCACTCAAGGAAAAACTGTACCATATTTTTGAAGCTTTTATAGAATAAGCTATATCAGTAATTGCCATGAATATTTAAGATTATTAATAAAAGCATGCACATATCATTAGAAATATACAAAACTAAAATAGCATATGAATGTCATATTTACTTGTGAAACCTCTGTTTCATCCACAGAACTCAACAAGCCCACCTCTTAAACTATCTAACGTGGAAAGGATTACAAATATACAAATTCTGTTTTTGTTCTGCATTCTTATTGCCATGTCTCTGATCTGTTCCATTGGTTCAGCTATATGGAATCAAAAGCATGAAGGGAGAGACTGGTACATCAATCTAACCTGTAAGCCCTCAAAACAAGTGTATCTTTTGTTGTCATAATATTTATCTTACTTTATATCTACAAAGTAAAATAAATGCATGGTACATATTTGGATTTATAGCTCTTTAGAACAGTATTATGGTTAATATTGATTAAAGGTTTTAAATGAAATATTTGTATAGCTGGCAACTTGAAGAATTGTATGTATATACTTGTATAACTAACTATATACAAGTTCACTGGAAGACAGATTTGTCCAGGGTCAAATTAGAAATTATGTGAAATTTGTAATTGCATTTCATGCATTATTTGGGAGAAGAGGCTAAACAACAACTATATTAAATAGGATCAGGACAACAGCACATAGTATGGTGGATTTATACCTTTCTGTTTGCACCATGATCTTAGCAGGGATCCAATTTAACTGCTGATTTCTGAGCTGTTTTTGACACCACTACACAGGTTCCTTTCTGAGGCAAATAATCAGATTCAAGGGCAGGTTTTATGGGAACCATGGTATTAGGAGAACTTTATATATAGTTTTTATTGTTCTGAATATTATAAATTATGCATGATTTTTTATCTTACAGATTTTGTTTTCCCTTTTTTAACAGATGGTGGAGCTAATAATTTTGGACTAAATTTCCTGACGTTTATCATTCTCTTCAATAATCTAATTCCGATCAGCCTGTTAGTTACACTGGAAGTTGTTAAATTTATTCAAGCATATTTTATAAATTGGGTAAATATAAAAGTTGTGCTATTTGCAGACAGTTTAATAATTCATTTCAAGAATAAATATATTTTATTTGATATAATAAGCTGTTTATTAAAATAATGCAGATTAAATTGCAGAATAAAATATTACAAAATATATTCTTGTATAATTGCAGGCTTCAGATTTTATAAATTAATGAAATCCCTTACAGTTAAACCTTTTAAAATAACAGCTTGCGAAAACTTGTTTATTCCTAATACAAACTACAAGATAATGAATTCTGTTGTATCATCTTTTTTCTAACAATGCAACAGGAAAGATGTGCTTCAGTCCATTTATTATATCCTGTCTGAACTGTAGAAATGTAAAAGCTAGTACACGCGTAACAGCATTCAGACAGTTCCTCTACCACCATCATCCATGCATAGTCTCAGCAGCTGAAGTCTACCTCCTAGCCCTACACCTGGCATTATGTCAAAAGTATATCTTCCATTCTGTCCTCAATATTCATACATTGAAAAAATTCTTGGTAAATTTTTATTTGTACATAGGTGGTGTTTATGCTTTGCTCAAAACAGATTGCAGTGAAGTTTGCGTACAAATTAACACCTTTTTCAGCTGTGGTTTTTTATTTTATTAGGATATTGACATGCACTATGAACTTACAGACACTGCTGCCATGGCACGTACATCCAATCTTAATGAAGAACTCGGCCAGGTATTTGGGGGGGGGGGGTTGCTTTGTTTTGTTTTGTAAATTCTTAGTTTGAATTAATGTGATTATCTTCTTTAGCTGTTGTTTTTCTGATAAAAGGATAAGGTGGTAGAATGTAAATATTCTCTATCCTATGTTTAAATGTATTATGTTTATATGTGTCCCACAAATGTGCCAGTATAGATTGCCTAAATAAAAAATCTAAAGACAAACTTATTTTCAAAGCGTAACTGCTATGAATCTTTATTTTCTCTGTGCTTCTCCATGAGCACACCAATGCCATTTTCGCAGCTTGCATGCTCATGGAGAAGCCTAGAGAAAAGAAGAAGTCATTACACCTGGCCTTCTCTGACCTAGAAAAAGCTTTTGACCATGTTCCGCATCAGCTGATCTGGTACACACTACGTGACCATGGTGTGTCTGAGCTACTCATAAAACGGGTCCAGATGCTCTACGTTTATACCAGCAGCCAAGTGAGATGCGCCACCAGCCTTTCCAACAGCTTTCCTGTCAAAGTTGGCACGCACTGAGGCTTGGCATTATCGCCATTGCCGTTCATTCTTGTCATGGATACCATCATGGAAGATCTGCATCACAGTGTCCCCTGGGCCTTGCTCTATGCCGATTATGTCCTGCTCACAGCTACCTCCAAGGAAGAACTGCAGTGGTGTGTCCAGGCATGGAATGAATGTCTTAGCCAGTTTGATTTGTGCCTCAGTATCAAGAAGACTGAGTATCTAGAGATGAGCCCAAGCACTTCCACCATCCATATCAGCAGTGAAGATCTAGTGAAGACAACTCCTTCCAGTACTTAGGATCTCATCTGCAAAGTAACAGCAGCATTAATGGGGAAGTGCATGCGAGGGTGAATGCAACGTGGCTGTGCTGGAAGGAGATTACTGGGGTGCTTTGCGATAGGTGCATGCCAATTTGCTTAAAATCAAAAGTATATGGAATGATGGTTCGCCTGGTAGCATTGTATGGTGCTGAGTGCTAGCCAGCCACCAAAAGTGCTGAACTACATGCCATAGAGATATATATGCTCCATTGGTCCTTAGACGTCTTCCTTCTTGACCACGTCAACAACGATATAGTCCAGCAACAGATGGGCGTTGCACCAATAACAGAGAAAATGCAGGAAAAACGCTAACAATGATTTGGCCACATCCTACAAGCAGCACCCCACACTGTCACCTCCACTGCCTACCACTTTTAACACCAATGGCAAACACCCACACAGAAGACCAAAGCAAAAATGGCAGGACACAATTGACGCAGACATGAAGATAACCCATTTGGACTCAGTTGCTATGTTCAGTCGTGTGAAATGGCATTCATTGTTCCAAAAAGCAGACCCTGTACCTGTGGGAAAACAGTAGGAAGAAGAACTACTGTCAATCTTATTCCTTTATCTTTCAGATTTTCCCATGGTATTCATGGATCACATAGAAATCTTTTTTCACTGTTTCCTATAGCAGTATCAGTCCCAGATTTGAGTTTTAGGGACTGTATGTGTTCATTACTTCATTACATGTGCTCGTTACAGGTTTCATAAGAGCACTTATTTTATTCCTCTGAATTGAATACAGTATATTTTTCACGGTCAGTTAATTTTACCACAGAATTTTCATTGATAGGTGATAGGTAATATGTGGCTAATAATAATGATAATAAGGACCTGCCACATAACACCCCAGACTTAACAATTGTTGATAAGAAAGACAAAAAAGTCTGGAT